AAGAAGAAGAAGAAGAAGAAGAAGAAGAAGAAGAAGAGTGTGTGTGTGTGTGTGTGGGGGGGCTACTTTGATTGCATAAAACAATAACAAGATGTCTAGCTGGATCCTCCAGCCTGCTAAAAGGTTCAGTGCCTGATCTGCCAAGCTCTAATCTTGGACAGAATTATAGAATATAAGGATTGGGATGAACCTTGGAGAGAGAACTACAGAACTGGTAATCAAAGGTGAAGTTTCTTTTTTGGGGGTGGGTGGGGAGGGAGGGAGGTGTGCATAAGATGATGACACGTTTCAGCTCCTGAAAATCAGACCACATGCTATTAATCAAAGTGTCTTTGTTCTCCAAACCCATTAATGAGATGAATTCACCAAATATTCCCCTTTTGCACCCAAGCAGTATGCTCAGCGCAGAAAAAAATGCTCACCACTGCAATTTTATGCATGTTTACTCAGAAGTAAACTCCACTATGATTATTACAGCACATTCTCTTGTGATCAAATGAAGCTTTCTTTTTTCCAATGTTCTGCATCTCTACTCTTAGCTAAAAGACTTTTACATGATATCGCATAACATTTTATACTAATTCCAGAAAGTTAATCTCATTTTACCCCATCTAAACTTTTATAGGCCCCTCTACAGTACTGTCAGCTGGTATAATACACTGACTGGAATGATGGAGGCTGTAATTCAACAAGGCCAGAATATATCAGATTAGAGAAAGCGAGCAAAAATGGCAATGTTCAAATTGTTCCTCAATACTTTGGGAAATTCCACCTTTTTTGAAAACAAAATGTAACAGGAAAAATACTTCTGGCCCATCTCCGTGATGAATACCCAGTTCAAATTAAAAAAAAAGAAATGCTGAGAAACAATACAGCAAAATCTCCCCAACCAAAATGGTATTGGGCTTGTGGACATGTGGAGAAAACTCAGTAATTGCAGATGTTTACAAGTACAGGTAGTCTTCAACTTACGACCACAACTGGGACTGGAACTTCTGTTGCTAAGCAATGAAGTTGTTAAGTGAGGCACGCCAGATTTTATGACTTTTGCTGCAGTCGTTAAGCGAATCTGGCTTCCCCCATTGATTTTGCTTGCTGGAAGCCAGCTGGGAAGGTCGCAAATGGCAATCACATGATCCCAGGATGCTGCAACTGTCATAAATACATGCCGGTTGCCAAGCGCCCAAATTTTGATCACGTGACCGCAGGGATGCTGTGACAGTCGTAAGTGTGAGGACTGGTTGTAAGTCACTTTTTTCAGTGCCACTGTAACTTTGAACGGTCATTAAACAAATGGTCGTAAGTCGAGGACTACCTGTGGGTTGAATCAAATGGATTGGTGATTAAGGAAACTCCACAGGTAACATACAGTACAAGATAGTGTTTGGTCAGACTTCATGACTCTTCAGAGGCTCAGTTCCTTGATTAACCTCATGAAGGGTTTCTTCCCCTTCCCTGGAGATTTTCTGGAGGCTGGAGAGTCATCTAGCAGGGATGGTGCAGTGAATCCTGCAGCGTGCAGGGGGTTGGGCTTGATGACCTCTGATGTCCCTTCCCACTCTATGATTCTATGAACTAACAGCAGAACCTTCTAAAGATGAGCATTAGTCCCAACAGAAGAGGTCTTCTCTCTGCAGGAGACAGAGGAATCCAGCCACACAGGGTGTGTGACTGTGGGTGTGTGAGAGAGAGTCCTTGGGGTTTATATCCTAAGTCTCTCTTTTCCATTCTTCCTGAAGACAGACTGCACTATGTTTACAGAACAGTCTGGCCTGGGGCTCTTCGCTTTCCACCTTCCAGCTCCAGCCCACCCAGTGTCGGACCAGCTGGCCTAGTACTGCATGGCTCTCACAGCAACTGCCCTTCACAAGCCCAATCTGGGTGGATCTGAAATAATTGGGCCATCAGGGAAACGAACAGGCTTGAATTAAAGGGGGGGAAAAAAAGCCTGAGGTTCACCACCTGCCAGTCTCTATGGTCTGCAGATGTGACAACAGCAGAAAAGGATTTTGAAAAGCAGAAATAAGAGCCTGCAGGATGTATTCTGCCAAACCAAATCTAGCCAACAAGATCTCTCCCGCTTTCTCCAACCACAGACCTTAAGCTAATATTATCCCATCTCCTCCCATCTTCACTGACATGATGTCAGCCTTAGGTAATTGGTAGACAGGGGAACAACCATCATGGAAACTCTACAGCCGTTCCTTCCCTAAATCTATGGACGAGCCCGCAGACACGCATCGACCCAACGGCGGAATACTGAACTCTGGATGGGAACATGAAGTCAGTTCCTGTGAAGACAGCCCCAAGCATCTTGATGAATTTCCAGATCACCCAAGAAAGCCTTCAGCCTCTTTAAGATGCTTTTCGTGAAACTGTCTGCAGTTCCTCCCTGCCCTCTGAGCCGTTTATCAGGACCCCACAGTGATTTCATCAGAGATGGTGGAAAAACTTGCATTCCACTTCCAAATTCCCCTTAGAGCGGGAAGCCAAACCTTCCTGACAAACGCAAGTCCTTCTCCAGCATCTCCCGAGCTCATATTGCACTGAATAGTTTTGTGATTAGGATGCCAGCCCACCCAGCATCAGGGCTACCCTGACGTATCGCTACTTCTGATGGAGCTGAATATAGTTTAAGCTCAAAAGATACATGCTTTGACTCTAGTACAGTGTTTCTCAACCTTGGCAACTTGAAGATATGGGGACTTCAACTCCCAGAATGCTGGCTGGGGAATTCTGGGAGTTGA